CAACTTGGGCCAGTGAAGCAACGTCCTCCACAACTAGACTGAAGAACAAAACGACAGCAACTTGTCTGTTCCCCTTCCCCCAATTCCCCAGTAAAAGCTTAAAAAAAGAAAAAAAGATCCAACTATATGTTGTCCATAAAAGACTCACTTTATATTCAAAGACACATACAGGTTGAAAGTGAAGGTATGGAATAATATATTCCAAAGAAATAATGATAGTAACTAAAAGGGAGCATTGCATCTCTAGAGTAATGTCAGACAAAATAGACTAAGTAAAAAATTGTTACAGGTGACAATGAAGTCATTATATATTGATAAAATGGTCAATCACCAAGAAAATATAACAAATACAAACATATACACACCGAAAGGCAGAGTCCCAAAATACATGAAGCAAAAACTGACAGAATTGAAGAAGACATTGGAACCCTCATACATTGCTAGTGGGAATATAAAATGGTATAGCTACTGTGGAAAAGTTTGGTGGTTCTTCCAAAAGTTAAACAGAATTACCATATGACCCAGCAATTCTGTTCTTGGGTATATGCCCAAAAGAATTGAAAACAGATGTTCAAACGAAGCCTGTACACAAACATTCATATCAGCACTATTCACAATTGCCAAAAGGTGGAGAAAGCTCAAATGTCCATCAACTGACGAACAGATAACAAAATGTGGCATATCCATACAATGGAATACTACTCAACCTTATAAATGAATGAAGTACTGAAACATGCTACAATATGGATGAACCTTGAAAACATTATGTTAGGTGGAAGAAGCCAGTCACAAAGTCCACATATTCTATAATTCCATTTATATAAAATATTCAGAATAGGTAAATCCTAGAGACAGAGAGCAGATTAGTTGTTACTAGGGACTGGGGGAATGGGAATGGGTAGTGACAGCTTAATGAGTACAGAGTTTCCTTTTGGGGTGATAAAAATGTTCCAGAATTCGATAGTAGTGATGGCTGCATAACATTGTGAATGTACTCAATGCCACTGAATTGTACTTTTTTTTTTTTTAAAGATTTTATTGGGGAATTGGGTAAACAGAACAGTATTGGGGAATTGGGGAAGGGAAACAGCCAAGTTGTTGTCCTTCAATCTTAGTTGTTGAGGGCACAGCTAGCTCAGCTCCCAAGTCCAGTCGCCATCCAGCCATCCGACGGCAGCTCATGCTGCTCAGCTCAAGGTACCCTGTTCAATCTTAGTTGCGGGTGGGCATAGTCCAACATCCCATGCGGGAGTCCAACCGGCAACCTTGTTGTTAGGAGCACGTGCTCTCACCAGCTGAACCATCCTGCCATCTGTTGGCAGCTGAGTGGCAGCTCAGCTCGGGCGCAGCTCACTGGCCCATGTGGGAATCAATCAGCATCGCTGTTGCTCAGAGCTTGCATTCTTAACCAACTGAGCCATCAGCCAGCCCTGAACTATACATTTTTAAATGATGTCAAATATATATATGTGTGTGTGTGTGTNAAAAGATATTTACATTACGATTCATAACAGTAGCAAAATTACAGTTATAGAGTAGCAACGAAAATAATTTTATGGTTAGGGGTCACCACAACATGAGGAACTGTATTAAGGGGTCGCGGCATTAGGAAGGTTGAGAACCGCTGCTGTAGGCAGGCAAACTTCACATGTCCCAACTGCTGAGGTCCCAGTAGCTACCGTCATCTCAGCCCTTCTGGAAGACACTTCTTCACTTAATTTCCCAGGGCTGGCTGATTACAGGATTGCTACTCATAGCCCCTCATTCCCAACGGGAAGCTGGGGGTGCAAAGGCCAGGGCTCCTCAGCACCACCCTGAGTGCCCAAGCCCGAGTTGGGAGTTGTACACTAGACAACCCGCTAGGGCCCACTTGCCTCAGATTTCCACTCCGGTCGCCTGAAGCCAAGTGCTGGCCATCAGGACTGACCTGCATGACTCGCACCCCAGCTTTCATATCCATAGGCATCCCGTTCTCGCTCCTCCGATCTGGGAAGTGGGACATGTCCTGCAGATGCTGGATGTCGTTCTCTACATATACTACCTTCAGCAGGGTCTGCAGGAAGGAGAGGCATAAGGTCAATGTCGTGAGCAGCTCTGAAGCACCTCTGCAAGTTTGTCTTCCAATGGCCACTCTCCCATTCTTCATGAGTGACAGAACTCCAACTTTGACCTGGGAGGTTCACCACTCAGAATAATAACTATGTTTCCCAACCTCCCTTGCAGCTAGATGAGGCTCTGTGAATAAATTTTGACCAATGAAAAGTAAAGCAAGCAAGAACCCTTCTGCTTCCTTTCCTGCTGCCTGAAACTTTGATGTGATGACTGGAGCTCCAGCAGCCATTCTGGATGCTTAGGACAAGGGCCACTCCTTCAGAACAGCAGAATGGAGAGCCAGAAAGCTCTTGGATCTGTAAGAGATTCCTGAAGCTGCTATAACAGCCTGGACTGGTTACCTCCAGACTATGTTTATGAGTCAAAAAACCAAACTTTTTTTTAACCTCTTGGTTTGGGTTTTTCTATTATATGCAGTCAAATATAGCACATATATCACAAGTACAGAAGAGAAGATGGTAGTATTGGGTGGGAAGGGGGGTAAGGGGAGTAGTAAAGGAGCACATGCAATACACACCCTTCATGAAGGGCTTTTTTTTTATTCCAGCCACACTGACTTCTCAGGTTTTCCAATTCACCAAGCTCTTTCCCACCTCAGGGCCTTTGCACAGGTTATTCCTTTCGTGAGGGACACTCTCCCCTCTCCATTTTACTCCTCCCAATCCTCCATATCTCAGCTTAGTTGTCTCTTCTTCCAGAAAGCCATCCATGATGCCACAGATAAGATCAGATGTCTCTGTTATACATCCTACTAGCACTTTGCAAATTTCTTTCACGGTGATTACCACACTTGTGATTATATCCTAATGTGTGCAGTTACTGGTTCACTGTTTGCCTCCCCACACTAGACTGTGGGTTCTATGAGTGCAGAAGGGTCTGTCTTAGTCACTGATATGTCCCTAGCACGTAGCATAGCACTAGCACAGACCTTAATAAGCATCTGTAAAATAAATAAATACATTCAGATCTCAGCTCCTCAAAAAAGCTCTCTTACTGACACAGCAACACAAACCATTTCTTTAGCAAAGTGTTTTCTCCCCAACCTCCCATCATGGCTCTCTTTGGGGTCCTGCCAGCACCCCCACCCATGGCCTCACTGAGTGGCTGCTAGCTAGACAGGGGAAGCCCCTGCATGGTTGGGTCCATCAGGTGCTCTCCCAGGGAGCTCCAATTCAAGGCCTGGGGAGCAATTTCTCTTCTGTTGAGTATGTTGCTTTGCCTGGAGTAGCTGTGCTGACACACCTGGACAGCAGCTGCTGAGTGGCAGAGAGCATGCTGTGCTACTCAGAAAGAGAGGGAGAGAGAGAGAGAAACAAGAGAGAGGGAGACAGAGAGTGACTTGCCTGGTTCCTGCCCCTAGCGAAGCCTAACGGCAAGTCTGTGAGACTCTCTCCTGCCCCGATAGCCTAGCTTAAAGAAGGTCTTTGCTCCTCATAAAAGATGGTTCACAGTGAAGCCACTCACATTACTGAAGATGTTTTTCTGCCAGGGAGAGTCAAGGCTGCTGTCCACATTCCAGAAGCGAATGGTGTTGTCTGAAGAACAAGTCAGAAAAGATCCTGATGGCAGACAAGCTCTCTGATCTTCAAACTCAGGATATACCTACAGTTCCCAGGGAACAAGGCAAAGGGCAATTCATCACAACTACTTCAATGATAGCACCAAGATATACTGTTGCATTTCGGTGGAAAAAAAGTAAGTTGCAGATAAACAGGCATAGTTTAATACTTTCTATGTCAAAAATAAACAAGAGGAAAAGGACACAAAATGCTGCCATACATCGTCCATGTGCCATCTTCAGCCTAGGCCATAAAACATCCCCACAAATAAATTTCCAAGAAAAATGAGCAGCTCACTAAGCACAAAAGGAAACAAGGTACCATAAGCAAGAAGCAGCAGAAACGACAGTCTACCTTCAAATATTGGGATTATCAGACAGAATATAAAATAGCTACGCTTAATATGTTTAAAGAGGTAGAAAAACTTTGACAAGGTTAAAAGTATGAGCAGCCAACCAGGAACAATAAATAACCAAGCAGGGCTAAAAAAGAGCAAAATAGAACTATTCATAGGAATGAAAAATAAAACATATTAAAAATCAAAGATTAGACATAGTTGAAAATTAAATGAATTGAAAGAAAGAACTAAACATTACTCAAAATGCAGCGCAGAAAGACAACATATAAAGAGATTTCAAAATATGGAACACTGGGTCTGAGAAGATGATGATAGCAGTAGCATCAATTTTTAAATCCAAATCCCCACATAAAAAAGAGCAACCAGATAGCAAAACCAAACCCCATGGACAACATTTACTGCAAAACTAGGTGACAAGCTATTCTCATAATTCCCAAAATACAAGCAGGTAGGGACAAACTACCTCCAGTAATAAGACCTACATGCTATCAACATGTATATGGGAGAAGCAGTGAGGCACCCGACAGACCCAAGAACAGAATAACACCAAAGTAGCCAGCCAGGTATTCACCGGAAAACACAATGGGTCAATTGAACAGCAGCTATAACTGGGAGGGTTTTATCCACTTCAATTGTGGTTGAGTGCAAGGGCTTGGCAGTAAGGTCTGAAACGGGCTGGAACAGTCAAGGCCCTGTGAACTTGAAAACTGACCTGCCAGGGCTCCCTTCCAGGACAAAGGCCCATACTGTGGGGAAACCACTCAGAGTGAAAACAAAACTGATCAGGCGAGGAACAAGAAAGACAAAGTAAAGAGGAAGTCCAGGTAAAATCAGGGACATAACACATAAATAGGAATATAACAAAGAAATATCACTAAGCAAGCTGCCATATTTTTTTAAACAGTATGAAAATCAGAAGATGGAGTTTGAAATTTCTTGGGAAGTTAGAAAACCTGTCCTGAAC